TCCCCATCTGGGCTGACAGCTGGAAAGAGACAGGAGGCCTCAGCTCCGTTCTCAGGCCCCGGCCAGGCGCTGAGAAACATTCCCACCCCGCCAAGGGCATCCAAGTGCTGCCACCTCGCCCTGTGCTAGCTGCAGAGCGGCCCTGGGAACGGGGTTTCTCAGGACCAGGGAGGCCCGGATGGGCCGGAGGATGGAAGTTTGGCTGAGTAAAGGCTCAGGGGACCCTCGAGTGCCCGAGTGCCCAGGGACCTGGTAGGGAGCAGGGGCTTGGACTCTGCTGGCTCCTCGGTGGGGCCCCCGGGCTGCCGGCCTCTGCCTCGGGGAAGGCTGCTGTGGGGGCCGAGGACTGGCCGGCCTGGGCTTAGCTTCCCCTCCTCGGGTGCTGCTGGAGGCTGAGCATCTCCCCGCTCCCACGTGGAGCCGGGCCCCAGCCCCCCTGTGGCAGGCACGAGGTGAGGGCAACCTCGCCAGCCCCTCCTCCTCTTCTGGCTTTTGCTCTTGCTGCCCTGGCCGCTGGGCGTGGAGGGAGGAGAGCCACTCTTCCACCGGCTCCCAGGCACTGCGCTCACACCCTCCACTGCCTGCACGCTGCTCCCTCCGTCATGGACAGGTGGTACCCAGGTGAGCTCCTGAGCCCCATCCTCCTCCACAGGTGCGACTGAGTCTCTCAGCGCACCCACCTGCTCCCCAGAAGTGCTGGAAAAGGCAGGATTTCTAAACAAGGGCATCTCCTTTGTTGCCTGGACACGTGGGGCCTGTGCCCCAGGGGCTCCGAGCTGGTGGACGAGGAAGACCAGCTGCCCACGGCCCCCTTTCCTGCCCGGCTGCCCACTGACCAGGGCAGGAACGCTGGTGCCAGGCTGCTGGGGTCGATCTGCTTTTCCTGCCTCTTGTTACCTGCCTTCTGGCAAGTTCTTTAACTTCTCTGGGCCTCATTTTCTTCATTTATAAAATGGGTGTGATAGGGTCTTCTTTGCCTCATTCAAGGGTGACGATGGTTGAGTGCATTTTTGTAAAGTGCGTAGAGTTCAAAAATAGTTATCAACTTGCTTTTCCTACTGTCCCCCCCCCCCCCCAAGGCAATCTGTTTCTTTTTAAATTGTATTATTTTTTCATCAAGGTGATGTTAGTTTGCAACTCCTATGGAGTATAGGTTTAGGAGTCTAGGTTCACACCTCCTATTTCTGTTTTTGTCAGCCAGCCAGCCAGCCCCCAATCCATCCATCCAGCCCTCCACCTGTCTATATACCTGTCTATCCATCCATCCATACGTGTGTCTGTCTGTCTGTCTATCTCTCTATCCATCCATCCATCACCTATCCATCTACCAATCAAGTTTCTTCCCAATTTTATATCCCCTATTATTCCTGAAAGAATCCATGGTCTCTTATGAGCTAGCTAACATACCTTAAAATACTAAAAGGGTTTATGTGGGGGCCACAAGTGTCTTGTGGAGGATAGCAAGAATTTGGGGGGCAGTGTCCTGGAGACCTTGGATTTGTCACTGGGTGTTGTAGGACGTGCCTCTCCTTCCCTGTCCCCCACCTTCCAGGTCTGCCGGTGGGGGTCATAGCATTGCCGCTGCCGCCTCCATGGGTCAGTCAGGACACAGCTGTGTCAGTTTTTTTTACTGTGAAACAAGCCCATGTGGTGCTCATGGGGGTAGTGCCCACAGAGGCTGCTCTGTGATCTCCCCCCCACACCAGCTCTGTCCATCACTTGGCTCTGAAAGCAGAAAGGAGGGGGTGGGGGTCGCGGCTCCTGGTCCGCTGGGGCGTCAGTCCGGGCATGCTCATGACACTGGAGGGTGGCTGGTCTGTGTCCTGCAGCCAAGGGTCAAGATGAAGGCCAGTGCCGTGACTTCTGCAGTCAGCACAACCGGGCAGCACGTCACCGAGCGCAGGCCCTCTCAGCGTGCTCTCACTTCCTCCCCATGTCCTGGTTTGTCCAGTCACCAGACAGGGCCACGTGGTCAGTGTGTGGAGGGGCCAGCAGTGAACTCCGAGCCCGTGTCCTGCCGGATGGAGGCTCAGCCAGAGTCCTTCTCTCTGGAAAGACTGGCCACCTAGTGGGCACTGACCACTGGCTCGGCCCCTTGGCTTCTGCTGGCGCCCTGTCTGCAGGCCCATTTAACAGACTAGAACTGAACCAGGGTCTTGGGCCTCCATGCAGTGCCCAGCACAAGTCCCTGAGATGCAAATCCCAGTGGAGGGGGAGTGGCCTCGGAGGGGTGGGGGCTTCTGCAGTGGGGGGCCCGGCTGTCAGACTCCTCCTCACCCTCACCAGCATGTGACCTTGGGCCCGACCCTGACCTCAGACACCTTGGGCAATAAAGCACAAGGATAGAGCGGGAAGGTGCCTTCTGAATCAGAACAGGAAGGCCCAGGCCCTGAAGTAGCCTACGGGCAGGCAATGCAGGACACAGGCTGGGGGTCAGGGGGCCAGCACCCACAAAGAGAGGAAAATGCCTGAGGCAGCAGGTAGTGCTATGGGTCAGGGGTGGCTGGAGCCTCACTGGCCAGTGCTGCTGTGAGCTGCCAGAGGCCGCCTGGATGGGCGAAGAAGACAAGGAAGGAGCGGAGCCAGGGAGCAAGGGCAGGGGATGTGAGCATGGCTGGTGGGCCCGGGAGGGCCGTGAGGTCCAGGGATGTAGGCCAGGCCCCTGGGGACACCTCAGGGAAGCCGTGTGCCAGGTAAGGGCGTCTGCTGAATGGTGTTCACAGGTGAGCAGCCCCGGTGGAATACACTTGGCATGGAATAAATTTTGAAACTCCTCTTCCCTGCCTTGGGTTCTCGGGTTAGTGACAGACTACCACAGCCGAGCTTTCTAGTCTCTCTTTGGAAATTTCCTTTGGGAGGCTTTGGAACCCCGCTAAGTGGCCCCTGCCCACCCTGCACCTCCTCAGGCTGCAGCAGGAGCCCCTCCATCCACGCCAGGGCTTTTCTTGTGACCAGGGTAAATATTACCTGGCACTGTTAATGTTTAATGCCCCCACCTCATCCCTGACCACCCCAAGGCCAGGCACTCTCCCTGAAGCAGAGGCAGCGGGCAGAGGGCAGCAGAGACAAACCCACTGGGGAAATGGCAGGGCCGTTCAGGAGTGAAGGTGAGTGTGTGTGTGTGTGAGCCTAGGCCCCCTCTGGACGGGTGAGCTGGACCCCACTCTTCCCTCACCTGCCACCCCTGTGCCCCACCCTGGGCCAGCCTCCCTTCTGCTTTCAGGAGAAGATCCTGCCATAATTCCAAAGAAATACACCTGGGCCAGCAGGGCCTCGGTGCCAGGTAGGAGGTGGGTGGGGGTGAGGTTTCATCTTAGCTTTACTGGCACAAGCCTGTCTCGGTTCAATGGATCTTTCTGGACTATCTGAGCACAGAGCAGGAGGTGGTCAGAGGTCAAGAAACAGCTCCTTGGTCAGTCTTCTCAGAGTGGCTTTTCAGAGCCCCCAGAAGGCATCCTGTGATGGGGGTCAAGGGGCACCCTGGACCCTACAGGGGTTCCTTCCTTGGCCATGGTGGGTTTTGAGGCAGATGAAGTAGAAAGATGAAGGCTGGGTAAAGGAAAGACTCATTAAACCACTCGAGATGACGCGGTTTCCTGGTGTGTGAGTGGCCGAGTTATGGCTCTGACACTAACTCCCCGGGTCACCTGGGACAGGACCTGAGCCGAACCCGAGACGCCAACCTCGAAGGTCTGTATGGGCGCAGACACCTAGTCCCGGCCACACTTCCCACTGGCCTCTGGCCTTCCTGAGCAACCTGTACATCAGCCCCTGGCCCAGTACCAACCCGCCTGGCCTGGGAGTCTGCAACGTGGGGCAGTCAGACCCGCTGGGGCCTGTGGGTGCCCCCACCCCCCACGCCAGGGCAGAGTTGAACACAACCTGGAGGTGCCCACTCGCACATTCCTTCAGCCTCACATGGCCTCCTAGTGCCAAGAAGGGGCTCAGGCAGGACAGAAAAGAGGGTGGCCCTCAGCCATGGCAGAGGCACTCTGGCCAGGCTGCCCTCCAGTGGCCAGGGGCAATGTGCTCAGCTACCAGCCTGGAGGGCAGAGCCTGCGGGGCTGGGCACTGCCACGTTGGGGGCGGGGCGGGGGAAGCCACAGGGAACTGGATCAGGTGACTTCCCCTGGAAAGGTGTTTTTCCTTCTAACCTCTGAGAGTCAGTGAAGCTCAGTGGCCAATGCTTGGACACTTAGCTGTCTGTTGCCTGGGCTCGAGTCCCGGTTCTGTCCTTTATTAGCTGTGCAATTATTGGTGAATTACTTAACTTCCCTGGGCCACCATCTTCACAAGGATTCTGCTGGAATATGAATGCCTCATGGGGTTGTTAGGATGGTCAGATAATGTCTGCTTACTTTTAGCCTGGTGCATGGTGAACAATCTATATTAATGGTTCTGAAATTAATTGGCTTCCCCTGGAGGACAGTGACACAGGAGAGGAGGATCTAGAAACCCAGTTCAAGTTCTGGCTCCAACTTTCATTGGGACTTTGGAAGTCTCCAACTGGGTTCAGTTTCCTCCTGTTCAGTGAAAATTAAGGCTCCGTTCATTCAGCAAGTATTTGCTAAACACCCGTGTCATTGTTACAGGACAGCAAATCTGTGGCTTCAGGGGTGCCCCTCTCTCCCTGTCCTGTGACAGATCTTGCCATATAACAGTATCTGGAAAGCGGCTTAAGGAGCCCAGTGGGAGACGACTCTTGGCCTTTTCTTCCTGTGGTAGGCGCAAGGCCGCAGGGGCAGGAAAGAGGCACCTCTCTCCCCACGGGCGGCAGCCCAGGCAGCCTGGCCTCTGTTCTGGCTGCTAGGAGCTGGTCCGGGCCCACTGTGCCTGGAGCAGCGCCCTCTGCAGGGCACAGCCAGCTGTCCAGCCTCTCCCAGGAACCTCTTGGCACCAGCTCCCCTGTCCACTTGCACCCTTCGGGGTGCAGGGGTGGGAAGTGCTGGAGCGCCCCTCAACCCCCATCCGTGAGCCCTTCTGCCTCTGCTTCTCCCCAGGTGGCAGCCCCAAGGGGGATGTGGATCCATTCCACTATGGTAAGCCTGGGGGCCCCTCCTCCCCTCCCTTCCTGCCTCCCACTGCTCCCCAACCCCCACTGCCTACCAGTTTCTGGTTCCCAGCCTCTCCTGCCCCAGCCTGTGTGCTGTCTTCCCAGGCCCGCCTCCTCTCTTCTCCTCCCTCAGACTATGACACCATCCGCAAGGGGGGTCTGATCTTCGCAGGCCTGGCCTTCGTCCTGGGGCTTCTCATCATCCTCAGTGAGTGGGGCCCACCCGGTGATGGAAGTGAGGGTGCACATTTCTCCTCAAAGCCACTGAGCATGGTGGGGGTGAGCCCTTCGCCCCCAGGACAGACACTGGAAGGGAAAGAGAGCTGGCTCCCTCCTGCTCGGGGCAGCTAGGGTGTAAATGGGGGCGGGGCAAGCTTGGCACTGGCTGGAGGGAGAGAGCAGAGACTACAAACTGAGTCCTCAGGGAAGAAGGGGTGCCCTTGGAAGTACCCGGTGGACAAAACTAGCCCTCTTTCTCTCTTCAAGGCAAAAGTCTGCGCTGTGGGGGCAAGAAGCACCGGTAAGTCCCGACTGAGGAGGGGGACGTGGGCTGGAGACGGAGAGGCAGGCCAAGGATGTTGGTGTCTGAGGCCCATGAAGAGGGGGACCCCTCAGCTGACCACCTCCCCCAATGGCCTCTTATGTCTCTTTCCTTCCCCACCCCAGGCAAGTCGATGAGGACGAGCTGTGACAACAGGTTTGTCTGGGGGGTGCTCAGGCGAGGGGTCACCTGCAGAAAAACAGAAGGGGCTGGCCGGGAAGAAAGGCCGGTGGTGGGTCACGCGGCTTTTAAACACTGGCCCAGTGCCCAGCTCAGCAGATGCGGCAAGGGGAGGGGGTGGGAGGCTGCAGAGGAGCCCCAGAAAAAATGAGTGAGGAAGGGGTGCAGAACCCCCTCTCTGCCCCTCACAGCCCCAGCCCTGCCTTTGTCTTGCAGAATCCGCTGTGCCCACACCTGCACCTGGCCGGTTGGCAGAGGGAAGGGAAGCCTTCCCGGGCTGAGGCCTTGGGCCCCAGCACTCCCCGAACCCCAACTGAAGGAAGCCCCAGGTTCCATGTGACCCCTGGGTGGGCATGGCCCTCGCTCATGCTAATAAAGCCCATCAGCACGCTCCTGCCTAGGCTGCTTGCCTCCTCCGCTGCTCCCATAGCCCAGGCCTGCTCCTCCCAGCCGAGCGGGAGCCCAGGGCAGCCTGGTCTCTGTGTCTGGATTAGTTGCTCAGGGGCCTGTGCCTGTTAACACAGGTGCAGGACCATTACCTGTAGCCCCTCTCCCCTGAATTGCCAAGGGCCAGAGGACTCCGCCTGCTCTCCACAAGCCAGAGAGAAAGCCCAGGGTACAGCGTTCCCAGGGTCCCAGGTGCCAGGTCTGCTGGGTGCTGCTTGGGCACCTGGTGCTGCTGTCACAGCTGCCCACTGGTAGGGGCAGCGAGCCTGTCCTGGGCGGCCTGAGAGGGCGCTGTTGTGTGTGCTCTGCCTTTTCCCCAAGTGCACCGTGGTCTGGGGGTACCTGGTGTGGGCCTCAGCACACGCCTCCCCCACCCCGCTCCTGACCACCACTTCCCACTCTTGGGGCTCAGCTGTACCTACTGCCATCCTCCGGTGTGGGGCTGGCTTGGCTAGTCCCGGCCTGGGAGTGGGCAGTAAGGGGAGGCCCTGCCTGCTCTTTCTTTCAGTCCCATCCCGGCTGGCCCCTGTCCCAGCCAGCCCACCCAGGGCAACCTCAGCACTGGGGGCGGCTCTCCCCCAGTTCCCTGCTCCCCACTGTCTGCGTGCGGCCCCCTGGAGGCAGAGCAGCCCCCCTCTGGAAGGTGCTCCCCACTCCCTTCAATTCACGGGGCGGGATGGCGGCGTGTGGCGCCACCTAGTGGGCCCGAAGAATCCAGACAGCGCCCAGTTCACGGGTGTGAAAACCAACGGGCTTACCGGGGTTTCTCGTCCCCAGGTATGAAGGTATGAAGGTCCCCAGAGTAGGGCACCTTTCGGCTTGAGAATTAAGGTCTTTATCTTAAGCTATTGTCCCCAGTCCATGAAAATCGCCAGCCTTCACAGAATCCCTGAAGCTTGAGTATAGAATGTCCTTAGCCAACAGGTGATTCTCATTTTTCAGAGAAACCGAAGCCCGGAGAAAGACAGAGGCTTGTCCAGGGGCCAAGACCAGCCTGCGTGAGAGCTGGAGCTCCGCCCCAGGCTCCCACAGGCAGGGTTCTGCTCCCCACAGTGAGAGCGCAGGGGTGGGGCGGGGGTAGATCTGGCCACCATGGACTTGGGGGGAGCACGGGAAAGAGAGGACGTGGCCCAGGGACAACAGAGGACAGTGCCCGGCTGCTTACAATTCAGGACCAAGGTCTTTGTCACACCCTGTTCCCAGTGCGGGCTCACTGGTACAGAATCCAGCATTTTTGATGCAATGAAAAAGGACACACGTCTGGGCTGTCCATGATGGTGGGAGAAATGGACGGGGTGGGGCGGGAGGCGGCTTTTGGGCAGAGGTGGGCTCTGGAAGCTTCTTGGATGTAACCAAGCAAAACAGGCAGCCGGTGTTGCAGCCTGTGGTCCACCTGTGGAACAGCAAGGGGAGGGAAGTCATGTTTCTAGAATGTTCTATCCACAAGCCCCTGAGTGTGCTGGCTCAGAGGGGACTTCACTTCCCCTCTCTGGCCTGCTGCAAGCTCTCATTTCTTGTGAAACCCAAGGTTCATCAGGACCAAGGTTTCCACCCAGAGAACCTAGTGTGTATGAAAAATCCCAGACGCCCAGTTCACCCTTTAGACCCCTGAACGTGGCTCTTGGCTGGGCCATGCAAGCTGATGCTTGACAGGTTCCCAGGGACGCTGGAGAACAGCCAGAGCTGAGAACTGGTGTCCAGGTGACATCCCGAGGTCTGTGACCGCTTCTGGTCTCTGCCCTTGGGAACACTTTCCCTTTCCTCTTCGTGAAGGTCACAGGGACTGGAAGCTACTGAACTTTTACTTCACTTTGGAATTTTCCACAATTCATACGCAAGTTGACTCACAAAGAACAGTGAGGACAGGGATTGGGTGACTTCATCACCTCACAGCAGCAACAAAAATAACCTGTGGGGAGGGGTGCAGTTCCTGTTGTTACCACTAGAGGGAGCACGTGACCTAGTCCAAATCCCTACACGCTTGGCTTTTTCATCGTCTATCTTTTCCGGGAGGGGGGGCGTTGCCAGGAGGTGGGGGGAGGGGGTCGAACCGTGGGCCAGGTGCCCGGATTTCTGGGAAAGCCCTGAGCTCTTCTCATTCTGCGTGCACACACCCCGGGGGTTGCCCTTGCCGAGCTCAGAGGTAATTCTTGGCTCTTTCTGGGAGGCAGAGACCCTAAGTCTGGGCGTCTTCCTCAGGGGTTGGGGTAACCGCTGACCTCGCAGTGAGAGTTAATCAGTGTCCTGAGCAGGAACTGAGAGGGGCAGACACACGGAGCAGGGACCTGTTGTGGAGGCAAGTGGAAGAGGGTGGTGCCGAGGTGCTTCTTAATCCCAGCTGCCCATGTCCTGACGAGGTTATAGCACGCGGTAGTTTTCTTTTAGCCACCTCAGGTGAACTTAATGTAAGTTCAGCGTTGAAAGTCACTTGCCGAGTAGGTGGACGGGGTGAGGAGAGGGGCAGGAAGGCGCGGGGGTGCAGATTCAAGGTGGGGACTCGGATGGCGTCGCCCACCTCGTGGTGTGGGGAGGGGTGGCAGGTCACCCCACCCCAGCACGGCATTCCTTGAGAGAGCGCTTTCCAGGTATGTGCTGGCCTTCCTGCTGGGGCCCTCTGCTGCGCCCGCTCTGCCCTGGCTGTGCCTCACCCGAACCTGTGGGCCAGAGGTGCTGGGCACACGGAGGGTGGGGGGAGGTGATGGAGGGGCTGGCCAGCCCAGCTGCTAGTGTCTCCCCTGTTCCAGGCTGGGCACCCCCTGCCCAAACTTACCCAGCCTCTGAGCACCTCCTGGAAGGAGAGCTCACATATGCTGGACGGTGAGAGCAGAGATAGAGCCCAAGGTGGCAGTGGGGGTCAGAGGGACCCCTTCGAGGTCCAGACTGGCACTCCGGGGCTGGTGGCAGGCTGGGCAGGGTTTTCCAGGAATGGATGTCCCGCAGAGGATAAGGAGGCTTGGACTAGAAGGTCTCCTATAAGCAGCGATCTTTCCGGAGTGACAGTGCCCCAGCACAAGTTTTCTTAACTTTGGGACCCTGTGGGAGGTCCCACAACCTCCCAGGATGAGCCACAAGGGGGCGCCCCAGAGCCCATGAGCATCCTGGTCCTGCCTCTGTCCAGGGGAGTGGGCTTGGTGGGCAGGTGGGCAGGGGGAGCAGCGATCTTTCCGGATCGCTGCTGGGTGGAGGGTGCATTGGGTTTTCCGGTCTCTCCTCCTCTCCGCCTGGCTCCTGGGCTGGCAGCCGGCTGCTGCTGGAAAGATTAATTGCCTCCCTGTTGACCCCGACCTCAGGCAGCTAAGCTCTGAACTGCAGTTCAACAGGGGCCTCTCGGGGCGGTGGTGACCTGCCCCAGCCAGGCGTCCATGCTTCATGGTCCGCCTGACACACGCCTGGCTGGGAAAAATCAGGGGCCAATGCTGGGGCCTCTGGGCCTGTCCTATCATTATGAGGAGTCCCCAGCTGGGAAGACGGATGGGGCTGGGAGCCAGAGGGGGCCACAGCAGCCTCAGTCAAGGGCCTCAGGAGAGTGGTGCCGAGCTGGGGCTGTGGGGGCAGGGGCGAAGGTGGAGTGACCCAGCCTTGGAAAAGACCCCAGATTTGGCCCCCCGGACCCCTGCCTCCAAGACTGGGAATGCTTGGCATTGTTCTGAAGCTGTTGGGGGCTTGAGAGGAAGCCCCATTTACAACTATGAACTCCAGTGCCCAGGGCTTCAGCCCGAGAGCGAAGGGGTGAGGGAAGTGGCAGAGGAGACTCAGGTGAAGTGTCGCTTCACAGGTGGACAACCTGGAAGGCTCTGGGGTGCGCTGCATTGCGAGGCAGCTCCCCGAGCCTATTTTCTGGCTTGTTGGCTGCCTCTGCTATGCCTGGTGACCTCCTAGAGCTTGGGCATGTGCACCCACCCCAGACCCTACGTGCTCCTGGCAGCTACTTGTCTCAAGTTTTAAATTTGGTTCCCTTTTCGAGAAATTCTCACCCCCAAGGGCCGCCTTGGTGTCACTGAGAGCAATTTCCTAGGTGAGCGTGGCAGAGGAGTGTATATGGGTTAGGTCCAGCCCAGGGCAGCAATTCGTGACCCCAGGATGGGGCCTGCAGCCCAGCCCTGCTGGAGGCATGGGGAGCTGGCCTCACCTCAGCTTTGGCCTCAGCCTGCTGTGCCCTTTGGAAGGGCCTCACCCGTCTCTGAACGTGGCTTTGGGAAAAGCAAACAAGACATTTATGCAGACATTGACCTTAGAATCACAAGGCCCAAGGAGGGTAAGTGGGGGGGGGGCTCATTCTTCTTGGCCCCAAGAGAGTGCTGCTCAGGGAAAGCTGGGTGCACCCCCACCCCAAGAATACACATTTGCCTTTTTCTAGTAGTTCAAACAGAGACACTGGCACATGATGACAGCGGACAGAAAGACACACTTGACAAAGCCAGGAGATGAGGCTGGCTTGGCCCAGAGCCAGGAGCTTGTCGCTCTCCCTCAGTCTTTGTTCCTGGAAAGGCCTATCCATCACTCACAGCATCGCTCCAGACCCAGCCTGCTGGGGGGCCCAGGGTTCCCTGCCCCAGAGGCAGTTGTATTTCAGGCCTGGAGTCTATGAACCATATGCTCGAGACGCAGCCAATAACACCACCTAGGAGGGGCCTCGGCCCTTCAGCACAAACCCAGAGCTGTGCCAGGCCCTTCACCTGCCAGGGGACTCTGCATCTCCCTGGGTTTTGACCCCTCCGCCCTCCCTAAATGCTGGCATGTCTGGGAAATACCCATCTTATGTGTTCTCAGGACAACATCCAGGGAGGGCCAAAAGGCCCGAAGACCCCAAGTCCATCCTCACACTGGCCAGACCCCAGCCCAACCTCCCCCTCCCCCAAAACCATTTGAGCCACCAGGGAGACATAGCTTGTCTTGTCCTTGGGGAGGTTCCACCCCTTGGCCTCCT